AAGCGATTATGATTGACAGAAATGGAAATTATGGTATTTTTCCTTTTGAAGACGCCTCAGAGTGGGGATCTGACCGCGCAGTGAATGGAGGAATAGAGGGTGGTACAAAAATATAAATATTGATTTCCATAAGTATAGAAAGAAAGTCACTCTCGGGGAGATCATTCAGTGTCTGCTCTGAGGACTAGGATGATAAACTACTGAAAGAGAGTGGTGACAACTCAAATGCTACTCATCATAGAAGTCCCCAGTCTCCTGTCTGGCCTGTAGATACCTCATTCACACCAACGCAACTCCGGTTCAAGCTCCGTGCTAGATCTTTTCAGGTTCAGAACCGGTTCTTCGGTTTAGCTCCGGCTCTTTTCACACAGCCCAGAGTCCGACTGGTGCTGCGTCATTGCGTCATCGTTTGCGTCATGACGTAACCGTTTGCGTGCCTGCTTCATAAAGCCAAACCGCGCGGAAACCCCTCACAGCTGACACCGACAACAACAACAATGGCGGATTGTGCTCCAGCTTCCTCTGTACCTCTTCGGAAGACCAGATTCCCAGCAGGTAGCTGGTCTCTTCAGTGGACCACTGCTGCTTGATAACTTTCTCCATCGTTGTACAAACTGGATAAAACGCCGGCTTTGTTGTTGTTGTTCAGGAGTTGATCCCGCCCCTGCCCCCGCCTCGACGTAAGCGTGACGTATGCAGTGCTTTTGCTCTGGCCGGACCATTTTTTTTGGTGCTTGAAACGAACCGGATTCCGGAGCTAAGAGGCTGCTCCGCTGCGGTGTGAACAGGAAAACCCGGTGCTTTTCAAGCTCCAGCTCCGAACCGGCCCTGAAACACCGTTGGTGTGAATGAGGTATTAGTGTCCTGTTTAGAGTTGGGAACCGAAACTCGGTTCCAGATGAGAACCGATAAGAAAATGAAATCGGGGAATCGATAAGAACCGGAATCGATACATTTCAAACGATACCCATCCCTAGTCCTGTTACATGAATTAAAACCTGGTATCAAAACCTGTTTGTGTTTACCTGCAGGGATGGAGCGCTCAACGCCCCCTCAGGTTCTGGATGAAGACGACCCGGACGTGGACTCGGCTGACGACTCGGTCGCGGTGGACCTTGTGATTTCTCCCGAGGATTCGCTGAAGCTTTCCTCGGGAGGAAGCCGTCGGATCCGCCGCTTCAAACAGGAGTGGCTGAAGAAGTTCTGGTTCCTCCGCTATTCGCCGACCCTCAACGAGATGTGGTGCCACGTCTGCCGGCAGTACACCGTGCCGTCGTCCCGGACCTCCGCCTTCATCGTGGGCTCCAAGCAGTTCAAGATCCACACCATCAAGCTGCACAGCCAGAGCAACCTGCATAAGAAGTGCCTGCAGCTGTACAAGCTGCGCATGCACCCCGAGAAGACGGAGGAGATGTGCCGGAACATGACGCTGCTCTTCAACGCCGCTTATCACCTGGCCGTGGAGGGCCGGCCCTTCTCAGACCTGCGGCCGCTGGCAGAGCTGCTGAAGAGGTGCGAGCTCAAGGTGGTGGATCAGTACCTGAACGACGGAGACTGTCAGATCCTCCTGCACCACATCGCCCGCGCGCTGAAGGAAGACCTGGCCGAGAAGATGCGCCTGTCTCCTTTCTTGAGCGTCATCATGGACGCCCAGAACGACGACCTGTTCTCGGACATGGTGGCCGTCTACGTGCAGTTCATCTCCTACGAGGGCTCCCCGAACACGGAGTTCCTGTCCTTGCAGAGACTTGGAATGCCCAGTGTGGACGGGTACCTGCAGGCGCTGGACCGGGCCTTTGGCGTGCTCGGCCTCAGGTTCCAGGACATGCTGGTGGTCGGCCTCGGGGTGGACGGGACCAACATCTCGGCAGGAACGAGAGCCAGCCTCTATGTGGCGGTGCAGAAGACCTTCCCCTGGATCCTGTGCCTTCCCATCATGATCCACCGGCCCCACCTGGAGGTCCTGGACGCTATCAGTGGGAAGGAGCTCTCCTGCCTGGAGGACCTGGAAACCAACCTGAAGCAGCTCCTCAGCTTCTACCGATACTCCCCCCGCATGATGGCCGAGCTGCGGTCCACCGCTCCAACTCTGTCGGAGGAGACGGAGTTCCTGGGAGACATCAGAGCCATTCGGTGGATTATCGGAGAACCCAACGTCCTGAACGCGCTCATCAAAGACTACCTGGAGGTGGTTGCGCACCTGAAGGAGATCAGTAGCCAGACGCAGAGGGCCGACACCGCGGCCATCGCCCTCAGCCTGCTCCAGTTCCTCCTGGACTACCAGTCAGTGAAGCTCATCTACTTCCTCCTGGACATCATCGCCGTCCTCTCGCGGTTGGCCTTCACCTTCCAGGGGGAAAACCACTTCCTGGTGTCGCAGGTGGAGGCCAAGATCGAGGACGCCATCCTGGAGATCGGCCAGCTGGTGGACTTCCCCGGAGAGTACCTGCAGGAGTTTGAAGAGAACTTCCGGGAGAGTTTCAACGGTGTCGCTCTGAAGAACCTGCGCGTCGCCGAGTCCAAGTTCCAGTCGATCCGGGAGAAGATCTGCAACCGGAGCCAGGGCATCCTGTCCCAGAGGCTGGACCTGCACAGCCGCCCCTTTGCAAAGGCCAGCAGGGTTCTGGATCTGAACACCTGGCCGCACAGCCGCGAGGACCTGCAGGCGTACGGGGAGGAGGAGATCCAGGTGATACTCGAACACATGGAGTCCCTCCCCTGCAGAGGTGTGGAGGCACGGGGTAACCTGTTGGGCGAGTGGAAGGACCTGAAAGCAGACTACTTCAGCATGAACGGCTTCAAGGAGGTTCTGGTTCACGTCTGCAGGTACAGGCAACGCTTCCCTCTCCTGAACCGGGTCCTGCAGGCGGTCCGGGTGCTGCCCGGCTCCACTTCCTGCTGCGATAAAGGCCGGGCATCTCTGCAGAAAATGTGCAAGAACAACCGGTCGCGGCTGAGTCTGGAGCAGATGAACGACCTGCTGACGGTGGCCGTTAACGGGCCGCCCATCGCACACTTCGACGGGAAGCGAGCGCTGGACAGCTGGTTCGAGGAGAAGTCCGGCAGCAGCCGCTCTCTGTCGGCCGAGGTGTTGAGCAGGAGGTCTGCCGCGGAGCAGAAGAGCGTCCTGCACAGCGTGGACGTCAACACGGAGTTTTACCCCGACGTCTAACGGTCCGTCTGCAGATCAGAGAGTCCGGTTGGTTTGACCTGGAGTTCAGAACCCCAAAGATTTATGATAGGAATGTACAGTAGGGTCTCCAGCTCATAGAACCTGCTGGATGCTAACCTGCATATGTTGGGACATTTACACAGTTAGCATAAGTTGCATAACTTGGCGCAGGGGGGGTCCAACCTACCACGGCCCATTTAGAAACGGCCCTCAGATCATTCAAATAGTATGATGAAGTATGGCGCACAAATTAAACTTGTGCTTGTCATATATTGTACTAATTAAATAAATATGTAGAAATATATATATCATAGTATTCATGTGTTCCCACTTTTAAAATAAATGCAATCAATTACAGTTGGAAACATTATGGAGCCCAATACCTTAATGACATACCATGAAATCGAGCCTTTCTACTTCCTGTTTCTATCAGCGATCTGAAGCTTCATTAAGGAATGAAACTCTCTGGAGAGCCGGGATGTTTCTTACAGCATGTTCAAGTATCAAGCTTCATTTACCTGCATTGATTGATTTACTAACTGATGATAAGGCGGGAAACCTCTAGTGATCTTCCTGTATGTGGCCCTCGGAGGACACAGTTGGGCCCCCCTGCCTCAGCGTGTGCAGACATTAGCTACATATTGGCTGATTTGGACGGTTTTGGGGGTTGGAGGAATCCCATTGGCCCAGGGAGACGCTGCCTTCAGGGTCCAACACAGAAACACAGCCTCTCTGCTCCACACTAACACTGTGTGTGTCTCAGCTGCAGGCCGGGGACACTGAGGCTGCAGAGAGACCTGTCACACACACCATAATAAAGCACTTGTTATCAATGCAATCAATCAGCACTTGTTGGCAGAATGAGAGTTGGTTCTCCGTGGGGAACCGGCAGCGATGGGGGCGTTCAGAGATGTGTGTGAAAGGCTTTTTATACTTCTATTCAAAGCAGACTCTGTATGAACTGTATCAAGTGTAAATGTGTTTGTAAGGACAGTATTTTTCTGGTGATTGAATGCAGAGCTGAAGGTGCTCTGAAGAGTCCCTGCTCACACACTGAGGATCTGTGTGACGATGGCAGAGGACCTTGGTCTCTCTGCGGCCCCTCACCAAGCTGGCCACGTGAAAGGTCAACAACGGTCTAAGAGTTATAGCCAAGACGCATCGTTCCTGTGTGTGTGTGTGTGTGTGTGTGTGTGTGTGTGTGTGTGTGTGTGTGTGTGTGTGTGATCCAGGAGTATAGTAGAGACGCAGACCCCGCGCTCTGCCTCATGTTCTGTTGTCTCTGAAAGACGCCCTGTTCTGCTCACAGATCTGTATTATCTGTTTCTATGCTTCCACATAAAGACACTTTCTGAATGACTTCATATTGTCTGCTCTTTGGAAAGGTCTCCTATTCTACAAAGTCTTCTTCTTCATGTCTCTTCTCCATGTCTCCTCTACATCAACATGTGTCCCCTCTTCTTCATGTCTCTTCTACATCAACATGTGTCCCCTCTTCTTCATGTCTCTTCTACATCAACATGTGTCCCCTCTTCTTCATGTCTCTTCTACATCAACATGTGTCCCCTCTTCTCCATGTCTCTTCTACATCAACATGTGTCCCCTCTTCTCCATGTCTCTTCTACATCAACATGTGTCCCCTCTTCTCCATGTCTCTTCTACAT